GCAGGTTGCTCAGGCATGAAACCGTGCTCTGGGGGACAGGCGTACCTCCTTTGCCTGAAATTCCCTCAAGCATTTAAAAACATCGGTCTAGTGAGAGCCAAGTCCTTGGCCCTGCCAATGTAAAGGCACTTTTGCCCCTTGGGCAAAAACTGCCAACTTTAATGGGTTCCAGCTGTCACATGGTTGAGTGCCTGCCCCGCTAGCCGGCAGCCTGCCCTGGCATTTCAAAGGGCTCCTAGCAGGCCTCTTATAGCCGCTACAGAAGGCGAAGATGGCCTTTGAACACGTGGCCCTGCCCGATGGATGTCCATCACCTCCAGGAGAAAGGAAGGGCTTCCTTAGGGCGGCGTGGTCCAGCCCGAGGGCTGGGGGCTCAGATTACCTGGATCACTCGGGAGGCCGGCACTGGAAAGGATTCCTGGATCAGCTGCAGCAGGGCACCAACCTCAGCTGCACAAGCAGCTCTTTGAGAACCAGAGGCAGGGCAGATGTGTCGGTCTGCAAATCTCCGTAGCTCCTGGGGACCTTTACACTCCAACATATTATGAGGTGAAAATCCTGCGGACATTTGGGCTTCATAGAGAAAGGATCACTATTTGACATTCGCTGCACAGAAATGGATGCGTGTGTGTCTAACACAAGCATCTAATTTTGTATGCAAGTTAGGTCTAGTTAATTACCAGGACTGCCTTGTTGGGTCACAGGGAGTCCTACCCTCTCTGCTGGTAGGGTGTGAGGGGAACCAGCAGAGTTCACTCCCTCTGGAATGAGCTGGCATGTTAACCCTAAGTCTCAACAGAGAAGTGGCTGAATTTCTCTGAGAATACATTGAGATATCCATTCTTATGTCAGGAAAAGTTCTTTGCCCCGATTCATAAATCACTTTAAGTTTCTAAATGGAAAACATGTATGTTATCAAGTTTCAATAAAATGGTCCCAGGATAAAGAACTCTTTAAGCCATCTATTCTAAAGGTCTTAAACTGCCAACCCACAGGCCAAATTCTACCTGCGGAATGTTTGCTTTAGACCTGTGCAGTGTTTTCAAAATGAAGAAACTGAGTCAGTATCTAGAAATCAAGAGATAGTACATTTTTTAAAATGAGGACATTAGAGGTGTGTGTGCTAGTGGATGTGTGTGTTTGCGTTTTAAGACAGAAATGCTGACAAGACTGGCCACACACTTCACGGGAAGGAACTGAATAACTGAACTCTTAAGTTCAGTAAATGGGGCATGTGAAGCTAAACTGACAATAAGACTGATTAACCAGAGGAAAAGCATACAGATTTTATTGATCTTATTATTATTATTTTTCTTATGTGCACAGAGTCCTTTCCAGAAAAGAAATGAAAACTACAAAGAATTAGACTCGGGTATTCTGAAGCTCCGATATTTTGGCCACCTTATGGACCCCAGCTCATTGGAAAAGACCCTGACGCTGGGAAGTTCAAAATAATCAATATGCTGAATTGGCACATTTTGAGATGGCATATCCTGATCCCTTTCAACAGCTCAGAAAATTTCACAAATTTGCAGTCGGTAGATTATAGTGTGTGCGTGCTCAGTCGTGACTGACTCTTCACGACCCCATGGACTGTAGTCCGCCAGGCTTCTCTGTCCACAGAATTTTCCAGGCAAGAATACTGGAGTGGGTTGCCATTTCCTCCTCCAGGGGATCTTCCCAATTGAGGGTTTGGACCCGCATCTCCTGTGTCTCCTGCATTGGCAGGTAGATTCTTTACTGCTTACGACATCAGGATAGATCATACATACACCAAAGAAAAAAAATCTCTGAGAATTTGCAATAATAAACTGACTTTCATTTAGGTTTACATAACAAATTCATGTTATCATGGAGAATTAATTTTAGAGAAAGTGAAAGTGAAGTCGCTCAGTCATGTCTGACTCTTTGCAACCCCATGGACTGTAGCCTACCAGGCTCCTCCGTCCATGGGATTTTCTAGGCAAGGGTACTGAAGTGGGTTGCCATTTCTTTCTCCAGGGGATCTTCCTGACCCAGGGATTGAACCTAGGTCTCCCACATTGCAGGCAGAGGCTTTTCCGTCTAATCCACCAGGGAAGCTAGGCCTCTGGCAAATGCCTTGAAGAAGAATTCACTAATCCTTTCTGGAAATGAACTTTCAACTGATCCTTCCCTTTCAAGCACATATGAAAGTTTCATAGAAATTGAATATATACTTAGCAATAGATAAAACTCAACACTTATCAGAGAACTGATATCACACAGATTATATTCTCTGACCAATGTGCAATTAAATGAGAAATCAGTAACAAAATAACGAACATATCCATACTTTAAGAGAGTTTTAAAAACACTTACTTCAAAAGAGTCACAGATCACAGAAGAAATCACACTGTAAATCAGAACATGGTACTAAACAATAATAAATTTTACATCAACACTCAAAGGATACACAGCCTCTTGTTTAAATTTCATCAATTATGCCAGATTAACAGATTGGGGGTTTTTTTGTTTTTGTACATTTTGATTCCTTTGTTTGAAACATAGTTGTCATTCCTTTTATGGACATTTCACCAAAAACTGATCACTTTTCAGTGACTATTTTATATTCAGAGCCAATTATTGTTTCCCAGAAAAAAATTATTTAATTCCAGCAACCACCAATTACTTTAGGGGACAGAACCACAAATATGAGAGCAAAAGGTATATCACCTTAGTTTTGTGATAATTTCTGATGGACAGACCATAATCTGACTCCCACTTGTATCCTGACATTCTATCCCATTTTTGCTGCTTCTGAGTTGTCTCTGCACCACGCCTCAGTTTCCCAGCTTCCTCCTCCAATGTGGCTCCACAGAATTATGCCCCACTGCCAAGAGGATGAGCTTCCCAGGTGGCGCTAGTGGTAAAGAACCTGCCTGCTAATGCAGGAGACCTGAGAGACATAGGTTCAACCCCTGCATCAGGAAGATCCCTGGGAGGAGGGAATGGCAACCCACTCCAGTATTCTTGCCTGAAGAATCCTATGAACAGAGGAGCCTGGCAGTCTACAGCCCTTAGGGTCACAGAGTCGGACACGACTGCAGTGACTTAGCACACATACAGGACCCAAGAGTATACAATCTCAAATATATACTAGCTCTGCCCTCTGCGCTCTCTATTTGCCATTCTTGGAAACAACCTGTAATGCTCTGATGTAGGGAAGCCACAAGACGGTTTCTATGCAGCGTGAACATCCATACAGCGAAAGCACCGGGCACCTCCGTTACCTCTTTTGCGGGCTGTAAAGTGATGCTCTCGTATTTCGTGATTCTCCCGGCTAAGGACTGTTCCAAAGTGTCTAGAACACATCCTACATGTTTTTGATATTTTTGTAGCCATGTATTTTACGTTCCTTTCTTCTAGATTTTCCCAGTGTAGCTTGCATGTCTCCATGGTTGACCTGTCACGTGTAGGCTGAGAAAAAGTAAATACTTAACCCAGGAATTATAAGAGCTATTTCAGAGATCTGCTGGTTTTCATTTGGCTGGCTTCTCACTAAATGCTCCCATTCATGGGCACAGAGAATTCTCATTCTATGTTCTCAAAACATAGCAAAGTCCATTAGTTTGGGTTGTTTTTTTTTTTGACACAGATGGAAAACTGCTGTAGATTAATAAAGCAATGAACCATGAGAACCATACTGCTGAAAAAAGTATTTTTTAAAAAGCACTAGTTTATGTTTTATACAATCAGAAGAATGAGAGCCCAGTTCTTTTTCTGGTGTTTACTTTTGCAGGCCTTGGGCTAATCACTCAACCTAATTGGGTCTTTGATCCTTCATTTGTAAAATGGGGGAGGGGAAAGGAGGGAAGGGAAGTCAATTAGTCTACCTCCAAGGCCACATTAAAAGTGAAAAATTCTAGGGTTGTGAGGACTCCACCCCCACATAAGCGCTTTGGAATAATAATTACAATAGCGCCTGCCCTGGGTATAATGGCTGGGCCCAGGGACTTCTGAGTGCTCTTCACAGCAGTTCTGCAAGATGGGTTGTTTAGAGCTAAGAAGACTGAGGCACACGGCTTTAACCCCTGCATCTGACCTGGGGCCTGTGGCCACGAGTTTTACCTTTCAGTTTTCTGTGAGTAAATCTTCATGAGCGAATGGAAAAAACAAAGGCAACAGACACAAAGGGTGGGCATTTCAGGAAAAGGAGGAGGCCCTTGCCTGCCACCCCCCACTTTCACCCCCTGCACCTCACTGTGACGTTGCGGCGTCTCCCTCAGGACGTCTTGGTCACATTTTTCATGGTGAACTTCTCCAAGATGCTTCTGTTGAAAGTGATACTTCAGAGCCCTGCCGCTGATAAAGTCACTCCCGCAGCGCTCACAGTTGTAGGATTTAAGAGCCCACATCCTTGCCCAGCGAAGTATCACATTTAGATCCTGTTGACGACAAAGCAGAAAGGTAAGCCCTTTGAAGAAAATCCAGTCCCTCAGAGTTAACCAGAAGAGAGATAATATTGTTTCTAGTGTGCTAATTTGTGCTCTATCGGATGCAAGTTTTCCAAGAAGTTTATTCCTCACTGATATCAAATATGATATCATGAAAATAGTCATTTAAACCAGCTGCTGGAACTCGAGTTGATAAACATCAAGGAGGCTGTAAAGCCACCAAAACCAAGTGCAAAGCTGTGTGTGTAGGTATAAAAGTACAGTTTTCAAAAAAGCGTTACAAATGAATCTGTGACCTAAGAGATGTTAACTGTGGATTTAGATATTATCTTTACTCAGGGACTCTCTAAGAGGCGTCGTTTCTTCCATTTTTATCACTCAATGAGTTCCCATAAATGAGAAAATTACCTTGAGTGATGATTTCTACATGTCTTTCAAATTAACTCTGTTCTTTTTTAAACTAAAGAAATGCCAAAGTTTGTACCAAGGGACACAGTCTGGAATATGTGGGCGATTCTATGCTCCGCCTGGCTGCTTCTGAAGCTGTTTATACTCTTGTTGCTAAGTGACTCGACTTGGATTTGTTCTAACTTGTCTGAAGCTTAGAGCTCCTTCCTCAGAGGTAAGCATTGTGGGATTTGTAGTCACCGGTTTCTTAGCGAGTGGTTAGATTAAATATTTCTAAGTGCACTCAGATTATTTTGAAGCTGCTACTGTAAAAATATTATCACAAATTCTAATGGCTTAAGCATATAACATTACTTGCTTGTCGACCGTAGGCCAGAAGCCTGACATGGGTCACGCAGGGCTAAAATGAGGCTGCATTCCTTTCAGGAGGCTCTTGGGTAAGATCCACTTCCTAGAGGTGACCCACATTCCTTGGCAGGTGGGGCCCCTTCCTCCATCGTCAAAGCCAGCAAAATCCAGGAAAAGCCGATGGGATCCTGTTTACATCCAACCATTCTGATCGGTTCTCTTCCCCTCTTAAAGACCCTTGTGGCTCCATTGGGCTCAACTGGATAATCCAGGATAATCTTCCCATTTTAAGGTCTGCTATTAACAGCCTTAATGCTATCTGCAAACTTAACTCTCCTTTGCCTTGTAAGGTAATAAACTCAGAGCTTCCCGAGATTAAGATGTGGACATCTTTGGCGGGGGGCGGGCATTCTTTTTTACCCACCTCACTGTAGCTCTAAAGTTCAACCAGGAATAGAAACGAATCCAAAATGTATCTGTATAAGGTGGAAGAAAAGCAAAATGTATTCACTCCTTACAAAATCTTTAGTGCTTAATGGGTTTTGGGGACTTTGTGTCAAACAAATTTGGAGTTGCTGGGTGATCTGCTACTGAACAGATGCTGTTTCCACTGAGAACTGCAGGGGTCCTGTCACATAAGGAAGATGTGAAAGCAACTTAGTGGTTCATGGCAGCGCTTTAAAAAATCAAATAGAATAAAACTAGAGAATATTGAACATAGTGAAGGTAAACAACGATTTGTGAAACATCCTTGGGCGACCAACCACCAAGTTTGCCTGGGAGTAAGGGGGGGTCCCTGTTACGCAGGATTTTCAATGCTAAAGTGAGGAAATTCTGAGGCAAGTAGGGACACGTTGGTTACTCTAGCACTACCGCAGAGACCACCTTGAAAATCAGCTTCTTATCAGCCCTAAAGCTCCTCTGAATGAATGGATTGAGTCCCTGTAAGATCCAAGGTCGTGGAATTTGCGGAACTTGATTCGATCTGCCCAAATTGTGATGTTTGCCCTGCACTAGGTATTCATTTCTGGTCCAATCGACCTGGACTGAGATACAGTGAGCGCAGGCAGACACATGACTCAATCTTACATGCAAGTTCTCTAAGGGGTGCTGAGGCAACGTTGGGCACTTGTGGTTTACAGAAATGAAAGCGTATCAATCAGAGCTTCCCAGCACAAGCTTTCTGTCCAGGACCAGAAGAGGGAAAGAATGAGGAAAATGGTGGAATTTCTATGTTTCCTCAATGAGCTGTCTCTCCACCCTTCTTTCACTTAGCATAATGTTTCCAAGGTTCACCCATGTTGTAACAGGAACCAGTATTTCATTCATTTTCACAGACAAATACTACTCTATTGTATGGATATACCACTAGTTCTGTTTTGTTTTTTAATCCACAAATTAGTTAATGGAAATCTGGGTGGTTTCTACTCTTTAGCTATTATGAATAATACTGCTATGAACATTCATGTTTTCATCTACAGGTTATTGTATGAACATATGTTTTGAATTCTCAGATAGCTGAGGGTGAAATTGCTAAGTCCCAGGATAACTCTATGTTGAACTCTTTGAGGAACAGCCAAACTGTTCTCCATATTTTACAAATTACAATTATGAAGTGGTATCTAATTGCGTTCTGATTTGCATTTCCTAATGACTAATGCTGCTGACTGTCTTGTCATGTACTTATTGACTATTTGTATATTTTCCTCAGAGAAATTTAGATACTTTGCTCATTTTAGAATGGGATTATTTGTCTTTCTATTGTTGAACTGTATGCATTCTTTATATTTTGAAAATCAAACTCTTATCTGATATATAATTTAAAAATTTTGTGCCATTCTATGGCTTGTCCCTTCATTTCTTGATAGTGTCCTTTGATGCACAAAAGTTTTAAATTCTGGGACTTCCCTGTTGGTCCAAAGTGGCAAGACCCTGAGCTCCCAATGCAGGTGACCCGAGTTCCATCCCTGGACAGGAAATTAGATCCCACATGCCATAACTAAGAGCTTGCATGCTGCAACTAATAAGGTCCCACATGCTACAAACTAAGACCTGGTGCAGTCAAATATATAAATTTTTTTTTTTAGGTTTTAAATTCTTATGAACTCAAAGCTATTTTTCCTGCTTGTGCTTTTGGTGTGATACAGTGGGGGGGGGGGGACCGTTGCCTATGCCAAGGGAAACCACGGGTAACCAGTCAAATTCCTCTCACCTGCCCTACCTAATCAAGGTCGCCTTCCCCTCATAGTTCAGTTGGTAAAGAATTCCGCCTGCAATGCACGAGACCCTGGTTGGATCCCTCGGTTGGGAAGATCCCCTGGGAAGGGAAAAGACTACCCACTCCAATATTCTGGCCTGGAGAATTTCAGGGACTATACAGTCCATGGGGATCGCAAAGAGATGGACACGACTGAGTGAAGTGTCTTCACAAAAGACTTGCTTGTCCTCCAAGCAATAGGTAGCCTAAGCAATACGTTGTTTGCCTCAGTTATTTTCCAGAAACTTAAAGTCAGTTGTATCTAGTTGGAGGTGAGCTGGTTAAGACCGAACAGCACAATCCATCCTCCAACTAGGAATGCACAAGTGTGCATCTTAGTGACCTTTGTGTGTGTGTGTGTGTGTGTGTTTTTGCTTAGAGACCTTTCGATGAGCTTCAGATCCTGTTAAGCACTCCCATCTCTGAACCAAGCAGGAGACCCTATAACCTAGTTACGCCTGCGCAGAACTACANCTCCCATCTCTGAACCAAGCAGGAGACCCTATAACCTAGTTATGCCTGCGCAGAACTACACCGGTGGAGAGCTACGCCTGCGCCCAACTATAACCACCGGATCTTTTTCCAATCACCTTTCTCCGTTCTGTGCACCCCAATGCTTCAGAGCTCCCCTCAGACCGCTGTTTATTCCCACAGTACTGCCTCTTGCCTTCCAGGGAGCGCAGTTTGAGGTTTGCTTTTCAGTCTTACTTAGCTGTCTTGCAAATAAATACTCCGCTGCGAACTGAAGAGACAGCACGCAAGCGCTGTGCTTCGGGGTTTTGCTGTGGTGTGTGTTGAGTAGAACAAGATACTACCTGGTGCAGTGACAGGTTTGGTGAGCCAGCCAGGAGGTAAGTCCAGACATGCCTTTCCTCCGTGGCTCCTTGGCCCTTTGAGGGTTATTGAGAGTCCAAGCAACTACCTGGTCGATTTGTTCCAGCAAGCGTCCGCCTGATTTCCCCAGACAGGTGCCGCCAATCTTCAGAATTTAGCTGTTTTTTTGCAGTGAAGAAGTGGTTTTGGAGCTTGGGGGTTGGAAGACGTGTTTTGGGTGGGTAATCTTGTTAAAGAGACACACCTGTGCCTTCACTGTCTGGCAGTCCTGCCCAGATGGTGGATTGGAGGCCCACCTTGCAGGATTCTGACAGACAGTATAAAAGTTTACAGCTGCTGAAGCGTTCCACATCCAGGTTAAAGGCCCAGGGCTGTGATTTTTGATCTTTCTTTTCTTATCTGTGTCCAATCGTCTGAAGTGTTATGGATTGACTTTTGGAGATTGAGCTTCTTGATGACTATAACATGTACTCTAAGAGAGATTTCTTTGCAGCAACCATGTAGAAACAAAATGAGATTTTTTTTTCCCCCCATTGCAAAATGAGAAACGCTAATTCAGTTCCCCCTTGCAGCCCTCTAGGCCACGTTCTCCAAAATTGGATGACTTTAAGTTTCAATCTATGGAAAAGAAATAGATGGTGTTTTTTGATATCCTTGCATAGTGCAAACATCCTTTAGACTCAGAGAAAAATGGCCTTCAATTATAGTACAACTCTGCAACTGGATTTATTTTGGAAACAGGAAGAAAAATGGAAAGGAATGCCTTATGTATAGTCTTTTATCAGAATCAACCTGCACAAAGAATATGGAAAGTTATGGTCCAGCAGAATGGGAAGTGGAAGAAACCTGTTCTCCTTGATTCTAATGCACAGTTGGCTGACAGCAGTGCTGCGCTTTCATTCCTCCTCCTGACCCTGCTCCCAATGCCCACCGCCCCTTCTCTGAAGGCTCAGAGAAATAGGAATGCTATCTTTCTGTCAACCCTGCCAGGAGTTTGCCTGGGCTCTGGTTTTTAGATTCTGCATACGTGATAATATACAGTATTTGCCTTTCTCTTACTTATTTCACTAAGGATAATACTCTGTAGGCTCATCTTGTTGGAAATGGTAGAATTTAATTCTTTTTTATGGCTCAGTAATATTCCATTTTGTGTATATGTATGTCGTATGTGTGTGTGTATGTGTGTATATATGTGTGTGTGTGTATGCACTCCGTGTATATATACATATACATATACTTCCCAGTGGTGCTTCCCAGTGGCGCAAGTGGTAAATAATCTACCTGCCAATGCAGGAGATGTGGATTTGATCCTTGGCTTGGGAAGATCCCCTGGAGAAGGAAATGACCACTTGCTCCAGTCTTCTTGCCTGGGAAACCCCATGGCTAGAGGAGCCTGGCAGGCTATTATAGTCCATGGGGTCACAAAGAGCTGGACACGAGTAAGCACAGCACATTCGTACACACATCACGTCTTTATCCATTCATCTTAAATTGCTTGCATACCCTGGCTATTGCTGCTCTGAATATTGGGGTGCATGTGTCTTCTTGGAGTAGCTGGGTTTTTGTTTTGTCTTTTACATATACGTGGGAGTGGAATTGCTGTATCATATGGCAGTTTTACTTTTAGTGTTTTGAGAGATCTCCCAACTGTCTTCCCCGCTGGCTGCACCAGTTTCTAATCCCACCAGCAGTGTATAAAGGTTTACTTCTCTTCATGTTTATTATTTGTAGACGTGCTGGTATTAACTATTCTGACAGGTGTGAGGTGATGTCTC